TAGAGAGTTTTACCAAAAAATAAAACTTACCTATTATTTTTTATTCAATATCCGGAATCCATCATTGAGTTAGCACCTGTTTTTCTTACCTAAAGTCAGCTTTTTCGGTTCCTTTCCGATAGTGGCGCCCTCTGTAGTGTCGGTTTGGTACTACTTACTGGGCGCGCGAGCACCAGGTTGAGACTCGTCATTATGGCACTCATGATGCACCAGGTAGACCTTACCTGGATTCCGGATATTGAATAAAAAATAATAGGTAAGTTTTATTTTTTGGTAAAACTCTCTATTATTTGTTTAGTATCAATATCCGGAATCCATCATTGAGTGATGTGTTTGTTATCACCTGGTGCCANAGAGCCCCGATTACGGTAACTTTTAACGTCTACAATCCAGACGCGTTTCTGATTCTGCGATACGATTGGTCAAAACAGCTGACGTACGCTGTTGAACGACCAATCGTATCGCAGAATCGAGAAGCGTGTCTGGATTGTTGACGTTAAAAATTACCGTAATCGGGGCTCTGGTGCCAATAACAAAGTTATTGACGCTATAAATGTGTAAGAATAGAATGAGATTAGTTGTAGTAATAAACTTTTATTTTATACTATTTTGATTTTCATAAATCAGAAAACAATAATAGAACACAACATAAAAAAAAATTTACTCATTGACTGCCTCAAAATAATTCGATAAAGATACTGATTCGATAGCACTTGGCTTTTGATTAATTAACTCTCTTTGATAATAATTTTGGAATGTATGTACAGTTTTCCAATTACCCGTAGCAAGGATTTTATCTATAGGAAAATTTTCTAACCAATTTAAAGAGGCTACTGCCGAACGTACCGAACCGGGAGTAGCTTCAATATTTGCATCTTTTAACAGAGATTTTACCCAGGCTCTCTGCCAGCCACCGATTATTGTTCTAGTAGCTGGCTTAGTCTCACCCCGGGTTGTTATAAACAAGTTATTTATATTTTGCCTACGATTTAAAGACAACTCCAATAATTTTCTAATCCAAAAAATTACATTTAGATTTTTATCAGGATGTTTTCTGAGCCTCCAGCCTGACTGACGATGATTTGAATTGTCAGTTTTGGACCCAAAAGCTGGCCACATAACAATACTATTTTGTCCATCAATTAAATTAGTTCTGCGTGCTGTGCCCTGCCCATTGTCATGTTAGCTTGCTAATCAGTCAGATAACATTTGTGTAAAGCGCAAACAGAGAAAAACAGTAGGTGGTACCTACTACTACGTACCTATATCCATAAATCGAAAATATTCTTTAAAAATAACAGTAAAAATCTCTTAAGGTAAGTACTTACTCACCTATCAGTGTACATGTCTGAAGTTAAAAATCGTGATGGGAAGTATCGTCAAGGAATTATACTATGTGATGTTTTACATATATTAGATGTTTCAGGTCTGACGCAGAATGCGCACTTCGCAAAATGAGCACTCTACTCAATCGTATCGTATTAAGCTATTATTGCTTTGAGATCTTTGAGTGAAATCATTTTAGCCTAGAATATAAGAATAAATGTGATTTTGCGTTTATGATTACAAAAATCCATACGAATAATAAGTAAGGTTAAATAATTATTAAAGATTTTTTATTTCAAAACCTTAAAACAATATTATTTCTTTATTTTCCACTTCAAGCAATGGCGGATGTTCGCCTATTTACCTACGCACCTACTAAATATTTCCATTTCTATCAACAAAACGCAAGATTTAAAACACTAAAGAAGTTATAGTAGAGTCGAAGGGTATTTTGTACAATTTGATACCTACATAATATGCTTCAGATGCTAAGTAGGTATAGGCAGGCTAGGTAGGACTTAGGTATTATAAATGATTGGAACTGTGCTAGTTCCAACAATTAAAAATAAATATGCAAGGTGATTTACTCATTAGTTAGGTAAGCTTTAAGCTGCCGGAACGATGTTAATTTTTCATAATCATCATCATTTCCTTCCCTTTTTCATAAACATAAGGGAATCAGTTACTTGCACCCCGTTACATGAAAATTAATTAAGTAGTTATACTAGTCACATTTTTCTTATTAATTTCTTTAAATATTTACTGCAAAAACGTGCTTAATGTCATAGGTATGATATTCTTAAGACAAGACATTGCGTTGGATTCTGGAGCAATTTTTGTGTGATATTTTAATAACTAATTAACCCTATTTTATCTACATTATGGTAAAATTGCAAGCGTTACTCTGCTTCTCTGATCGTACCTACATAAAACAACAATATTCTTTTGGAAAAGGGAATTAGAGTTGGACAGCCGAAGTAACCGACTCTATTATAATATAAGATACTCTATATTATACAAATAATAACTGAAGTAATTACGTGTAATTATTAAATATAGGGTGTGTCAATCAATTTTTAACCAACATTTATTTAAGGAGCATCACTGAAATGAAAAAAAGATTAGCACCTTACATTGCTGAGGTAGAGCATTTGTATTGTTTGAAAAGGTAAAAAAACTGTATGCTTTTCCAGTGTGGTCCGAAAAAAGGGTGGTTGTTTGAATGTTTTGATTAGGTAATGCAAGTAAAGTAAAGAGTTTTAAAACAAAAAAATAGTTAGTTGTTAGTACATACTCTTACAATAAATGATTATCCCAACTAATATTATAAATGCGAAAGTAACTCTGTCTGTCTGTCTGTCTGTCTGTCTGTTACGCTTTCCCGCTTAAACCTCGCAACCGATTTTGATGANGGAAAGAACATAGGATAGGTTTTATCCCGGGTTTTTAAACAGGGACGCGCGCGATAAATTTTTTTTTTGACAGACAAAATT